GGAGCAGTGGGCTATCTGTGATGTTCTGATGTGCAGCTAAGCAGTTAGGACTTTATTCTAGAGGCAGTGGGAGCCAGGGAGGGTTTTAGAGGGAGATATAATAGGAATTACATTCCAGGATGATTGATTTGGTGCCAGGGCACAGGATCCTTTGAAGATTTAATTCAGTTTATTTAGCAACATCATTAGAAAGCAAAATAAAAAAGATGTAATTTAAAAGTCTCTCTCCACATAATTTTAGAATATGATATAAAATGTTTTTATGTCACCTTCCTTGACTAATATAGTCAATGCTAAAATCCAGGAGAATACCTAGCTTTATGGGTCTTTTCTTTCCGTGAATATTGATAATAACATTTTACATCTGGGGAACATAATTTATTATTCTAAATGCTTATTATTCAAAATAACATAATAAAGTCATAATAAATCTCTCCCCCACCATGATCTCTCTTTGATGGCATATAAAAACATAGATTTAGAGATAAGATGGAAAGCTTAGATCTGTTTCAGTGTTTCTATGAGTAGTTGAAATCAGGTCGGGCGCAGTGGCTTACGTCTGTAATCCCAGCACTTTGGAAGGCTGAGGCAGGTGGATCACCTGAGGTCAGGAGTTCGAGACCAGCCTGGCCAGCATGGTGAAACCCCATCTCTACTAAAAATGCAAAAAATTAGCTGGGCGTGGTGGTGGGCACTTGTAATCCCAGCTACTTGGGAGGCTAAGGCAGGAGAATCGCCTGAACTCGGGAAGCAGAGGTTGCAGTGAGCTGAGATCATACCATTGCACTCCAGCCTGGGCAACAAGAGTGAAACTCTGTCCCAAAAAAAAAAAAAAAGCAAGAAAGAAAAGAAAGAAAGAAATTATCATTCTATGGCTACTTGTTTTAAATAAGCACTGAATTTCATTTTGTAGGTGTCTTACACTGTAGTACCATAGTTGACTCAATTATACACTCATAAAGCACTTTTTGGAGAAAAATAGAGCATCAGCCTGTTATATGTGAGTGTTGTTCAGTAATGTCTTTCTTGCTCTGAAAAGTTTTACAGTTTGCAGACATGATATATTAATATTGTATTCTATTTGATCCAGAGAGAAAGAGAAAAGGGACAATAACATGAAGAAAGCAAAAGGGGGCTCTAATTACAGAGAAGAGATTTAAATAATTTTAGTAAAATATATTATTTTTAAAATATTTCAAGAAAATAGTTCAAATCAATACATTTTAAAACCCTATAGTATACTTTAAAAGGTATCATTGGAGTAGGGAGGAAACCCAATAAGACAATTCCTTCTAAACCATTTGGCACAAAGTGGGAACTTAGAATAGTTACCTTATGCAGTCCATTTGTCTGTTGAACTGATAGTACCATGATTCAAGTAACACACCATTTCTGGCTTATGTAGCCAAAATTACCATCTTTGACTTCCATTTCAATGTATGCTTCCATCTAACTTCGTATAAATATATAGGGCTCTTTAGACTCTGTGTTTGGCATTATCACAATTTTTGCTTGGCTCAGACAGGGCAGGTTGATTATCATTAAAGTGTTATTTATTTCTATTTTATTAAGCCCCTTTTACATTCATGTTACAGGTTAATTTATACTTTTATTTCATGCACTACTTGGCTTTACTGATTAATATGCCCCATGGCATTCAATAAAGTCAGGCAGTGGAGGAAATAAGAGTGGTATTAATTTCTAACATTGCTATAAATTTGCCTTAATAAAACTAGCTCAATAACATTACAGAAGTAATACAATGGATGCTTCCAAATTGTCAGCAAAGATGCAACTAAACAATTTTCCTTCCTGAATTTCACATAACACTATTGCCTTTTCTTTGAAGTGTGGAAATGAAACCTGCCATATATTTTTTCTCTCTTTAAAAGGTAATCTAATAGTTGGCATGATAACACAGTACACAGCTCTCCATTTAACTTATTCCAATATGCCTTATTCAGACTTTAGGTTACAAACTGTGCAAATTAACACAGGCTCTCAGGCCCCTGGGATGGGTGAGTGAAACTTTATTCATGTAAGAATTTTCATAAATATTAATACTAGGTCTGCAGAATCGTTTGTTCTTCTCTAATCTATTAATGTTCAATTCCAATAATAAATATGATTAACACAAAATCTGAAAATATGGAAGGGCTAGTGAAAGTCTACATGCTAGGTTTTTTTTTCCAGTTAACCCAGCTCTCCCACCCCAATTGTTCAATGAAATAAGGTTAGAATTAGGATTTATAGGAATTTATAAAAACAAGGACACACTGCTATCCACTGAATTTTGGCTCACAAAATTTTGATGAGAAAGAATGTATTCCATTATTAAGTAACCAAATTCATGCATTAGAAGAGAACACTTATTCTCTCCTTTTCATTTATTAGCCAGGCTAGCCAAAAATTGTTACCAATTGGAAATTTGCCTTTATCTCCATTATTCCAAAAAAGTAAGGGCACTTTACCCTGTGCTTTCCCTTCGCTTTTCAATAATGTCTTTGAATAGCATTTATGGGCTGGAAGGAGATTTGATAGAGAAAAGCAACAAATGGAAATGTGTGCATTGGACAGATATTTATTTATCAGCCTTTGTACCAGGCTGGGGATAGAACTGTGAAACAGTTTTACCAGTTTGTTCGTTATTTAATATATAGACTTTTTTTTTTTTTTTTTTTGAAGTAGGGTCTCTGTCTGTAGCCCAGGCTGGAATGCAATGGTGTAATCATGGCTCACTGCAGCCTCAACCTCCCAAGCTCAAGCCGTCCTCCCGCATCAGCTTCCTAAGTAGCTGGGACTACAGGCACATGCCACCATGCCTGGCTAATTTTTAATTTTTTTGTAGAGATGGGGTCTTGCTATGTTTCCCAGGCTGGTCTCTAACTCCTGGAGTCAAGCAGTCCTCCCACCTTGACCTCCCAATGTGTTGGGATTACAGGCATGAGCCATCGTGCTCGGCCTAGTCTTGCTCTTTTACTTATTTTAATAAATGGTGAAATTTCATACCATTAGTAAGGAAGCTATTTTGGGACAGATTTTTTTTTTTTTTCTGTTTGTCTTTGAATGGATGAGGAACTTCTGCATTCATTAAGTCCCCCTCAAATCATACCAGACAAAGCAGTAGGCACCTTTGCTCACCAAACAGCTCAAGAAATGGTGGCAGGGTGAGTCATTCTCTTTTTTTTTTTTTTTTTTTTGAGATGGAGTCTTGCTCTGTCACCCAGGCTGGAGTGCAGTGGCACAATCTTGGCTCACTGCAAGCTCTCCCTCCCGGGTTCAAGTGATTTTCCTGCCTCAGCCTCCTGAGTAGCTGGGGCCACAGGCACCCGCTGCCACACCCAGTTAATTTTTCTATTTTCAGTAGAGATAGGGTTTCACCACATTGGCCAGGCTGGTCTTGAACTCCTGACCTTGTGATCCGCCCTCCTTGGCATCCCAAAGTGCTGGGATTATAGGCGTGAGCCACTGCGCCCAGCCAGATGAGTCATTCTTATACCCGCTCAGCACTCTAGAGTTTTTTTTTTTTTTGGTTTTTTATTTATTTTTTTTTGAGGCAGAGTTTTGCTCTGTCGTCCAGGATGGAGTGCAGTGCAGTGGCATGATCTTGGCTCACTGCAGCCTCTGCCTCCCCAGTTCAAGTGATTCTCCTGCCTCAGCCTCCAGAGTAGCTGGGATTACAGGCGCCTGCCACCACGCCTGGCTAATTTTTGTATTTTTAGTAGAGATGGGGTTTCACCATGTTGGCCAGGCCGGTCTCGAACTCCTGACCTCAGGTGATCCACCCCCCTCAGCCTCCCAAACTGCTGGGATGACAGGCATAAGCCATGGTGCCCGGCCACTCCGGGCATATTTTGAGACTTTTACTAAATCAGCTTAATAGAATGATTTAACACCTCCTCCTTTGCCCCAGTCCAAATGAATCCAAGCCTATTAGATAAGAGGATTTGATATTTTCATGTTTTCCTTTGCTTAGCTTTTGGTTGAAATTACATTTTCAGATAACTCACATAAAAAAGATGTGCCTTTTCATGTTAATATATTTATGCAACTTCCAGCTTTATGAGAAAGTAAGAATTTAATTTTTACTGTTTCTGCTACTAAACCCAAACTGATCTTCTTTGCTTTAAAAATGAGATATTCAGAATAAACAATTCTAGACTGGGTGAGGTGGCTCATGCCTGTAGTCCCAATGCTTTGGCAGGCTGAGGCAGAATTGCTTGAGTCCAGGAGTTTGAGACCAGCCTGGGCAACAGTGAGACCCCATCTCTAGAAACAAGTACAAACAAACAACCAAACAACAACAACAAGAGGTGGCTCACACCTACAATCTAATCCTAGCAGTTTGAGAGGCTAAGGTGGGAGGATCACTTGAACCCAGGAGTTCAAGACCAGCCTGGGCAACATAGCAAGACCCCATCTCTACAAATAATTAAAAAATTAGCTGAGTGTGCTGGCATGTGCCTGTGGTCCCAGGAACTCGGGAGGCTGAGGTGGAAAGATCACTTGAGCCTAGGAAGTTTCAGTGAGCTGTGATTGTGCCACTGCACTCCAGCCTGGGTGAAAGAGCAAGGCCCTGTGTCAAAAAAAAAAAAAAAAAAAAAAGGCATTTCTAAATCATCCTCAAACTACTTTTTAGTAAGAAGCTATCTTCAAAGGAATAATCTACATCCTGGATCCTGAGAATGATCGATCATTCAAAAGCAAAGCAACAATTTTAGAGACTTGGGAGTCCCATTTTAGAAAGAAGAACATTTGTTTCCAGAGTCCTTCTCACATCCTGAGCTAGAAAATAAGAGACTTCCATTGGCTTATCCATCTTCGGGTAACCATTCACTTATAAACATGCTGATGACTGAGTGACTTGAATCAATCTACACAGGCAGTCATCTATACAAGCCTTTATTTGCTTTAGGAAATCTGTTAGCTACTGAATTTTGATGTGTTTTTTATAAATTTTTATGAAGTAGACAGACTAAACTTAGTTTATTATATTTCAGGATGGATTTGACAATGCCTTTGATTGACCTCGCAGCTGCTCAACACGCAAAGGTACCTAAAATTGATACACTTCAGTCATTAGGCTAAACTCTGGCAAAAGTTTTCTTTTCTTTTTATTTTATTGTTGCCCAGGCTGGAGTGCAATGGCATGATCTTGGCTCACTGCAACCTCTGCCTCCCAAGTTCAAGCGATTCTCCTGCCTCAGCCTCCCAAGTAGCTGGGATTACAGGCATGTGCCACCACGCCCGTATTTTTATTTTTAGTAGAGATGGGGTTTTGCCATCTTAGCCAGGCTGTTCTTGAACTCCTGACCTCATGTGATCCACCCGCCTCGGCCTCCCAAAGTGCTGGGATTATAGTCGTGAGCCAGTGTGCCCACCCAAAAGTTTTCCCTTCTAATCAAATGAGGAAATTTTATTGAGATAAGAATGGGCATGGTGGCTCAGAACTTAGGGAGGCTGAGGTGGATGGATCACTTGAGTCTCGGAATTTGAGACCAACAAAAAATATAAAAGGAAAAAAAAGGTCGGGCGCGGTGGCTCAAGCCTGTAATCCCAGCACTTTGGGAGGCCAAGGCAGGCGGATCACGAGGTCAGGAGATCAAGACCAGCCTGGCCAATATGGTGAAACCCCGTCTCTACTAAAAATACAAAAAATTAGCCGGGTGTGGTGGCGGGCACCTGTAGTCTCCACTGCTGGGGAGGCTGAGGCAGGAGAATGGCGTGAACCCGGGAGGCGGAGCTCGCAGTGAGCCGAGATCGCCCCACTGCACTCCAGCCTGGGCGACAGAGAGAGACTCTGTCTCAATCAATCAATCAATCAATCAAAAAAATTTAGCCTGTTGTGGTGGTGTGCACCTTTAGTTCCAGCAACTTGCGGGCTGAGGTGGGAGGATCACTTGAGGCTGGGAGGCAGAGAGGTTGCAGTGAGCCTGGATTGCACCACTGTATTCCAACCTGGGTGACAAGAGCAGGACCCTGTCTCAAAAAAAAATAAAAAAAAGAAAAAGAAAAAGAAAAGATGGAAAAATCAGACCTGTTGGTGAAATGAGTTAGGCAGTGAATTGAACCAAAATGTAAAGTTCTATGTTTTTAGCTAATAGGAAATAAAATATACTGTTGGTAACCACTCAGGACTTTGAATCCATGTATGATTACATTGCTTGATAGTTTTCCCCCCAATACTATCTAATCTGAAGTTATTGCAAATAAAATGCAAATTAAACAATGCTAAACATATTTTCATCTTAAATCTCTGTTCTATAAGTATATCTAAAAACTTAGTCTGCAAAAATGTACTATTTTAATAATTCATTCTTTTTTTATCTTTAAAGTGAAAGCAAGTTTATTAGGAAAGAAAAGGAGTAAAAGAATGGCTACCTCATAGACAGAGCAGCCCCAGTAATTCATTCTTTGCAAAGCTTTCTGGGGTACGATGATGCTTAACAGACTAGGTCAGTTGCAAAAATAGTTTTTCAAATGTTGGTATAAAAATAAATAATATATGTAGAAAGCAAATAAAACTTATTTGGTGACGACTAGATTATATTGACACAATTTTAAGTTTCAGATAGTCTCAGCTTAAATCTTTAGTGAAATACATTAATTTTTCAATTGATCAGGACTCAGCAAAATATATATGAATGTGAGATGAAGGGTGCTAAAATTTTCCCCTCTCCTGTATTTTTTTTAAACAACTATATTAATTACTACCCTTTGAGAATAAGGATATTATTTTCTTTTTGAAGGGAAACATTGTGCTCTATAGAATGACTTGTACTGTCTTTTGTGCCATTATTAATACATTTCCTGTTTAAGGAAACGACTTTTTTTTTTTAACATGATAGTTTAAACTTCAAAATAAGTGCTATTGACTTTTAAAATGTCTTATCTTATTAATGTCATTCTGGGCATGAAGAATAAAGTGTGGAAAATGCTTGTCATAATAATCCTATTGTCATGAGATTCTCCTTTTTGAATAAAATAGCTCACATTTGTTGTTTCTTTTCTGGGGAGTGGCAGTTGGGAAAGGGGAAAGTAAGTTTTGTAGATAAAGCAAACAGATCCCTCACTTTTAGATTAGTGAAGGATATGGTGATTTTTAAAAATACAAATATATACTCTACCTATAATATGTATTAAATGTCAGATACATCTTCTAGAAATCTTGCCCTCATATTTACAATGGCCATACAAATGTCCTCATATAGTTCTATCTAATTGATTCTGTTTCCTTCATTTCTGTTTTTCTGTTCTTTCCTTTCAATCAGCTTCCTAAGGTTGAATATTTTTCTGTTCTTATTGCCTTCATCAAAACCACCACTTAAACTTTAACGAGCTTAAAACTGAGATATTAAGCACAGAAAATAGGAAAAACAAAAGTTTTAACTGAATTTTTTATGTCATATACTTGAAGCATGTTTCATGAATGAATAACATACATGATTAACATGCATTTAAAATAGTATGTGGATTGCACAATGAAAATGCTATCATTTATTGAGTGGAATCTGTATTTTCATTTAATTTAATATATTTCACTTACAAAATTAGCAAGGTAGTTATGCAGCATATATATGCATATGTTTTATAAAAGCATACATTTTAAACTTTTTCCTTTTGGGAAAAAATTCATGTATATAGTTATTGAGGCTTTACTCTTTTTTTTTTTTTTCTTTTGAGACGGAGTCTCGCTCTGTCACCCAGGCTGGAGTGCAGTGGCTGGATCTCGGCTCACTGCAAGCTCTGCCTCCCGGGTTTACGCCATTCTCCTGCCTCAGCCTCCCGAGTAGCTGGGACTACAGGCACCTGCCACCTTGCCCAGCTAGTTTTTTGTATTTTTTAGTAGAGACGGGGTTTCACCATGTTAGCCAGGATGGTCTTGATCTCCTGACCTCGTGATCCGCCTGCCTGGGCCTCCCAAAGTGCTGGGATTACAGGCTTGAGCCACCGCGCCCGGCCGAGGCTTTACTCTTAAAACCAAGGTGACCCTCAGTTTTGAAAAGTACAGAGCAGTATAGTGAATGATTAACAAATTATACTCTGCAAAATAAGCCTTAGCTGTGCATTAATACTAGTAGATACTATTTCTGCATTCCTATTTGTGCTAGGCAATGTGCTAAATGCTTTATATACATTAACCTCATTTCAGTTCATTTAACTTCATAAGAAAGCCGTTGGTTAGGAATTTTTACCCTCATTTTACAGATGAGAAAACGGAAATGGAGTTGAATGACTTACTCAAGGTCTCAGAGTTAGTCAGTGGTAAAGTTAGTATTTGGATTCATGGCTATCCAATTACACATACAGCATGTTGAACAAGATCAAGAGGTTTAAAATACCTGTAAAAATTTTTGATTAGATAAATATGATGTGGAAAAATATAATAATGATGGCAATAAATAATTAGTAAATGTTAGAAGACAGAGTTTAAGAGACAAGGATATGATGCATAACCCCTTTTCTCCTGTAGAAGTAGATGAGAAAGTTGTAGTAGAGGAGATGCGATGATAGTTCTGTAAAACTGTGAAGTAAGCATTGATTATTTGCTTGATTCATTAATTTACTTAACTAGGCTTTTATTGGCCACTCTGTTGGGTGGTGGTATAGAAAGATCAGTAGGAAACATGCCTTCTTTTACAAAGTTGACAGTCTTTTGAGTATGTAGTGCATCCACAGGTAAATAGTGCAGAGGTTCAAGAATGACTATAGATTGTACTGATTACAAAGGAAGGTATGTAATCTAGAAAGGAGTGCATGGTGGGTGGGAAGGAGACCTACCCTGAGTTTTAAAGTTCATTATGTCAGGCAGGTAATATGGTCAGATTCCAGGTAGAGAAAACAGGTGATAGAAAGCCAAGAAGGTTCATATGAGAGTGGGTAGGTTAGTGCAGCAATTGATGAACCTGAAGACAGACAGATAGAAAGACTAGATCTTCCAGGGCTGAACAGGATAGAGGTTGCTGTAAGGCTATGGGGAAGAGGCGTGGTGAGATCCACGTTAGGACAAACATGCTGGCTGTAGTGTGGAGAGAGGGTTGGAGAGGGGCCATGCTGGAGAAAACCAGTTAGGAGGCTGTTGCAGACAGGAGGAAAGTGACAAGGGCCTGATGGTGGGCAATAATGGGGGTTTTAGTGAGAAGGGGACAGCCCAGGATATCAAAGAAAACAAGAGAAGAAAAGTTTCAAGGAGGAAGAAACAGTAAACAGTATCAAATGATGTAGAGAAAAGATATTCATTGGGTTGAATAGCAAGATCTCTGGTGACTCTTGCTAGAGAAGCAAGTGTTAGTGGTTCACAGAGAAGCCTTTGGGGTAGGGGAGTGACCCGGGGGCGAGTGGGAAGGAAACACAGTGAGTGCCCAGTGTTTTCCTTTGCTACTCCCTGTGCTGATTTCCTCCTCTACTTCCAATCTTGGGAAAGAAAAAAACCACTTATTGGACAATTAGTGAAAACTAGTGCATGCTATAAGCCTCAAAATGACCCTATGATGTTGGGCCCACTGTGATCTTTATTTTCTAGGTGGGGAACAGAGAGTTTGAGAGATTTATACCCCAGCCCAAGATCCACAGTTAGTAAATGGCAGGGCTCTAGTTCTAATCCAAGTCAGTGTGATTCCAGAGCTCATAGTCTCACCACTACCCTCTTCTAGAATTTAGAGTCTTCATGCGTGCTCTTCTCTCCTTCCCTCTCAAGACTATTTGCAATCATGGAGCTAATAGACTTATTTTCACCAAAACATAAATGATGGGCACAGCTTATTATGTTTTTTTTTTTTTTCCCCCTGGATGTATTTTGAAATGACCATTGGATGTACTTCTTTTTGCATTTTTATTGTGAAATAAAGCACCATTTTTGGCACTTTATGTAAGTGGAATCATTTGTATTCTTCTGTATCTTGCTGCTTTTGCTCAAAATTACATTTTGCGATTCATCCACATTGAGTGTGGCATTAGTGCATTCATTTTCAATGCTGAATAATATTTCCTTATATGAATTTACCATATTATTTGCCATGCTGTTTTATTCTTTAGGGACTTGTGGGTTATTT